GTGTGATTATTCCTGCAGTATTGCTGAGCATCCCACCAATTGTACACTTTGTTTATATAGATGTATTTTCCACTGGAATTAGATTCCGAGCCTGAAAGAATTTTTAAAGTTCAGTTGGATTTATTTGCACATAAAAACAGTTTGTAAAATATTTTATTACCTTATTTCACTGCTGCAAATAACAATTATTTCAATTACTGATGAATCTGCCAGTTATTTTCTTGATTAATCAATTAATAGTTTGGCCAAGTTTTAACATTTGAGATGCATTTTTGCTTAATAAAACAGTACTCACAATTAATTGATTATCAATTATTATTATCAATATTAACACAGTTTAGAAAACGTAATATTTGGACTTGAGACGTTTTGTCTGTTGTCTCGGTATATCGGCCTTGTAGTCATTGTTATCATGTGGATCAATGTCACGCAATTATATGACTGACTCGACAAAGGTGGTCTTGACTACAGCACTGGCTGTAAATAACACCAAAGCAAATAACTTATTACTCACCAGGAAGATTTTTGTCATAGCAGACAAAGGTGAAAACATCTGCACAGAAACAATCATTCCAGACACTGTTCTTTAAAACAGTGCACAACCATGTTTGTTTTTTCATGTTATCTGGTTCGCCTTTGTTCCACTTTCTAAAGTTACTCTCTCCCTGTCCGTAGAAGCCAGACTCTGACAGAGACCAGCCCCAGCTAAAGGGTTTGTCAGTCAAGCCTATCCACACTTTCCCTTCATAACCACTGCCTGCAGCTGCGATCAGACGCTCCATGTCCTCCATGTTGTCTATGGTGGCCAGGTCTGTGTACTTTTCTTTGCAGTACTGTCTGGCTTCAAGCCAAGTCTTTGGTTCATCAATAAAATGGTAATTATGAAGGCATGAGCAGATCCCTATAAAGAAAGGGACACTTGTCAAATCACTGTTGAAAAATAAATCTGTTGGTTAGGAAAAGAAGATGGTTGGGTTAAAATAAGCCTTTAAGATAAATTAGGTTTGTTTTTATAAAAAAGACAGTAATTACAGTAAAACAGACTGTACTGAACTTAATGTAATGCCAGCAGCACAAAATATACTTTGGTGATCACCTGACATCACTTGCGAAACATCAGCATGTCATTGTAAGTTTGCAGAACCACTACCATTTTTATTTTCAATCTAAAATAAAATATACGACATAAACAAACATGTGCATGCAGACTGACCTGATAAAAGGAGAATACAAACCATGGTCCTTCTAATACCTGAGGATGACAAACATTCTTCAAAAAAACTGTAAAATGAATAATTAAGTATACAGAAAACTTGTTTACAATGTGTCATAAACTCTATGAAGTTTTCCATTAATCAATAATGTGAAGAATGTGCTCCTCATTTATTTATGAAGCAGCCAAAGCCGAATTCTTGATGATCAGGTAAGCCCACTGGATTGAGGTTTCTTGGGAAATTATATATGGAAACTCAATATGAAACACAAAATGAGACCCAGCAACGGGAAATCAGGGATTGTGTCTCATAGACACCTCGCTCCATCACAACTTCCCAGATCAAGGTATTGCACTCGACGGGGGGATCGCGTTCTGCGTTTACAGAAGACGAGTGGAGGCTTAGCATGAAGGGGATTACATTTCTTATATACATTTCACTGTGCAACTCTGTGTTGTAAAATACAAAAAATAATTGACTTTGAATCATTGAAATCTCTCTAGGTCGACCATTCATTCCTCTATTTGAGCTGACTTAGAGAATCTATTTTGCTCTACTTTTCTGGAGGATATAAAAAAGACTTGTCTTAAGGTCCAAATCTTTAAAGATATGTCTTACCTGGATGTACGGGAGTACAGGCTGGTGGCATCTTCAAGTTCTTGTCCTTTATCTAAATCTCGCTGAATCTTAAAATATTACCTGGACAAACGCAGCAAACCTTTTTATCTCAGTTTTTTGATGCAAAACACTGATTAGTTAATCTCCTGACAGCTGTAATATGATCTCTTGCACCTCCTTTTGAGACGCTTCCAGCCTCTTACAGCCCTTCCCAGCATCGCCATCTCCTACAAATCACCTTGAAAACCTAACAGTAAGACTTGAGTTATTTATCAAGGAAAATGAGTATCACTCTCTCAGAACTGAAAAAAAATGTTTTAAATAAAGACGTAACACAATCTTTTCAACATGCTGCAAGTTTAAATAAGCCATTGAACCACAGTTAAGGAGGTTAACTGTACTTTTTGTGCAAGTAAACTGCAGTGTTGGATAAGGTCATGGATGGTTTAGAAAAGGTTTGCTGTGGTCTTGTGTTCAGTGATGCAAAGCAGATGTAAAGCCAC